GGCTTGCATCTCCTAAGAGGCCTCAGAAATGATGTATCTGGTGCCCAGCTTCAGACAACACCAGAGCATCACCCAACCAACTTCACCAATGACATAGTCAAAGGGAAGACTGGGCAGACATCAGAGCTCTGCTAAAGTGAATCCTGCTCCATAGAGTAAGCCCCTGCACATCAGCTCCTCATTGTAGTCATGGCCACTCCTTACATCCAATCTGCCTGAGGGTCATTCTTCCCATTGATGTGACAACAGCAATCAAGCTTCAACTATAACAAGAGGGCACACACAACCCACACAAAAGGCACACCTGATGCATCCAGCTTAGGTGACCAAGGAGACTGTACCAGTTGGTCCTACAGGATACTTACTATATAAGACCATTCTATCAAGACCAGGAGATATAACAGCTCTACCTAATGCATAGAAACAAATACAGGGAGGTATCCAAAATGAGTAGACAAAGAAACATGTCCCCAGAAAAGGACAAAACAAAACTCCAAAAAAAAAAAGAACCAAATAAAATGGATATGAAAAATCTACCAGATGAAGGGTTCAAAAGACTGGTTATAAGGGAGCTCAGTGATCTCAGTGAACTTTAACAAAGAGATAGGAAATGTAAAAATTGAGATAGAAAACATAAAAAGGAACCAGTCAGAAATGAAGAATGCACTAGCTAAAAGAAGAATAAATTAGAGGGAATCAACAATAGATTAAATGAAGCAGAGGATAAAACCAGCTATTTGGAAAATAAGGTTGCAGAAAACACCCAGTTGGAACAGCAAAAAGAAAAAGAACCCCCCCCACCGCAAAATGAAAGTAGTTTAAGGGACCCCTGGGACAACATGAAGCATACCAACATCCACATTACAGGGGTAGGTATCAGACAGAAAAGAGAGAGAACAAAGAATTAAAAATCTAATTGAAAAAATAATGATAGAAACTTTCTTAACATGGTGAAGGATATAGATTATAAGTCTAGGAACCACAGAGAGTCTAAAAGAAGATGAACCCAAAGAGGCCCACATCAAGACACATCATAATTAAAATGTCAAAGGCTTAAGACCAAGAGAGAATCTTAAGAGCATCAAGAGAAAAGCAGTTAGTGAACTACAAGGGAGTTCAGTTCCCATAACACTGTCAGCTGATTCCTCAAAAGAAACTTTTCAGGCTAGGAGGGATTGGCAAAAAATATTCAAAGTGATGAAAACCAAGGACCTAAAACCAAAATTACTCTACCCAGCAAACCTATCACTTAGACTCAAATGATAGATAAAGAGTTTCTCACACAAGAAAAAGTTCAAGCAGTTTATCATCAGCAAACCAGTATTAAGAAGTTAAAGGAACTTCTTTAAGGAGAGCAAAAAATCAAAATATGAATAATAAAATGGCAATAACTACATATCTATTAACAATTACTTTAAATGTAAATTGGTTAAGTGCTCCAATCAAAATGTAAGGTGGCTAAATGGATAAGAAAATGTGAGCCTTATATACCCTGTCTACAAGAGACTAACTTCAGATGAAAAGACACACACAGAAACTAGAGTAAAGGCATGGGAAAAGATTTTTTTGCAAAAATAGGAATGAATAAAAACCCTGGGATAACAGTACTTATACCAGACAAAATAGACAAAACAAAGGCCATAACAAGAGACAAAGATGGGCCCAGCAATTCTACTTCTGGGAATTTATCCAAAGAAACTATAAACATTAATTTGAATAAGACATACAACCATAAGTTCACTGCAGCATTATTTACAATAGCCAAGATATGGAAGCAACCTAAGTATCCATCAATATGTGAATGGATAAAGAAGAAATGTGCATATATAAGTGGAATATGACTCAGCCATAATAAAGAATGGAATTTTGCCATCTTCAATATGTATGAATGAAGAGAATATTGTGCCAAGTGAAATAAGTCAGATAAAGGCAAATGCCATATGATTTCACTTACACGTGGAATCTAAAAAAAACGAACAAAAAAAACAGAAACAAACTCATAGAAACAAAGAACATTTTCATGGTTGCCAGATGGAAGGGAGTTGGGGGGATGGGTATAAAAGGGAGAAGGTGTAAGAAATACAAATTGGTAACTATGAAATAGCCATGAGAATGTTAAGCAGAGCATAAGGAATATAGTCAATAATATTTTAATAAATATGTATGGTGTCAGTTGACTATTCAGCCTGATTTGTCAGACTGATCACTTCATAGGTTATGTAAGTGTTTGGTCATAGTGTTGCACTCCTGAAATATAATATTGTATGTCAACTGTATTTGAAGAAATATTTAATAAAAATACAACTTTTGTTCAAGTCCCAGTTCTTCTAGGAAGCCTCCCTTTAGCACCCAAGCCTCTAATGAGCTCTCTTTCCCATTAACTCAAATAGTTCCTGTATTTCTTGTTTACTTGGCATTTATTTTTAAATTTTTTCTTTAAATTTTTTAAATTTATCAATTTTATTTTTAAAAGTTTTTATTATTGACACCATTACAAAGGTTCCCCATTCACCCCCCCATTTGTTGATTTAATTTTTATTTTTTTTTATTGTGCAATCACAGTTACTTGGTATTTAAACAAACTATTACCTATGAACTCATATTTAGCACCACAGTGCAATAGATAAATTGTGGACTGTGGAGCCAAATTTCCTGAGTTTGAATCCCAGTGTTACCACTTATTAGCTGTGTGACATTGGGAAGGTCACTTAACATTTGTAAGCCCTAGTTTTCTTTTTTATCTCCAAAGTGAGGATAATAATACCTATCTCATAAGGTTGTTTAAATGTTAAATTGGTTAATACAAGTAAAGTGATTAGAAGAGTTGCTTGGCACATAATAAGAATGATATATGTATTTGTAGATAATTTTTGTTAAATTTATATGTATACTGGTTCCCCAAATAAATTATAAGCTTCTTAGTGACAGTGAATTTTTCTTATCATTTCTTTTTCTTACAGCATGTAGCCTTACTAGGTATACCACCAAAACTTTGGAGATTCAAGCCCTGGCTGGCGTAGCTCAGTGGATTGAGCGCGGGCTGTGAACCAAAGTGTCGCAGGTTCGATTCCTAGTCAGGCCACATATGTGGGTTGCAGGCCATGGCCCCCAGCAACCGCACCGCACACTGATATTTCTCTCTCTTTCTCCCTCCCTTCCCTCTCTAAAATTAAATAAATAAAATCTTAAAAAAACTTTGGGGATTCAATTGTATCTAAACAGAAATCCCAAGATATGTCAAGTTGCTGCAAAAACAACAACACTACATCCCATGTCCTGTAGCCCCCACTATACTGTTTCATCCAACCGTTTGGTTAGTAGCTCTCCAATGACAATGAGAAAGTTGCCTTACATATAAGGCAGTTCTTCCATTTAAGCTACACATAAACTGTGATTTTGGAAAGAATAAGAATGAGGTAGGGGGATGGGAAGTTGCTGTCTTCACATAGCTTTGCCAAAGGCATCACTTCTCTTGGGGTGATAGTAAGGGAGCTGATGGAATGTCTATAACTGGGCACTGTAAACAAAGGTTATGCCTAATTACTCATGGCTGTGTCTGTACATCACAAAGAGAATGACACATATACCATCCCATCTCTCTATCTCCCCACATCCTTTGCCTGGAGGTGGGGGAAGGTGGAAGAAAGCAGAGAAGCAAGAAACAGCCTATGGAGACCTTCCTCTTCACCACTCTAGAACTTCGAAACCCTGCCTCAGGTAAACTGCAAGATTGCTTTCCAGGAAGTCAGGAGAGCTGGACCCTGGCTTTTGGGTACTAAATAGTTGTGTGACTTTGGAAAGACCACAGATACTAAATCTCTTTATATATTTTAGTTTCCCAATCTAAAGAAATGCATAAATATCCACTTCTAACCTAATTCATGGTGCTATTATGAATGACAAACAAGGTGACAGATTTGGAAATATTTTGCAAAGTACAGAGCGGTCAAGTCATGTAAGAGATCATTATTTTGGCCCTAGCTGGTGTGGCTCAGTGGATTGAGTGCCGGACTGCATATCAAAAGGTTGCCAGTTTGATCACCAGTCTAGGGCACATGCCTGGGTTGCAGCCATGCCCCCAGTAGGGGGTGTGTGAGAAGCAACCACACACTGATGTTTCTCTAACTCTCTTTCTCCCTTCCTTCCCCTCTCTAAAATAAATGAATAGAGTCTTTAAAAAAAAGAGATCCTTATTTTGGACCTCTCTTAGATAGTGATTTCAAGTATGGCCTTTTGCCTTTTAGATCACTGTCACTCAAAGTGTGGGTACAAAACTTTATACCAGAACATAAACATACTTCTGCCTTCATCAATAAAATCATGTTATGAAAAAAGAGTCAGCTGAAGTAAACAGTTTGCTCAGTGGCATGATTTACATTTGGCACAAGCCCCTAATCTAGTCACAGTGATAAATTGTTCATGGATTGGCAGTAATACATAGACCACATTCTTCAGGTCACTTACTATCCACCAGATACAATTCTATATGACAAATCTCTTTTCTTTCTTTCAGAACTTAGCCTGATCTAACTGTGATAATGGTGCAATTTATCTTGTTTCTCTTTTTTTGAATGTTATAAAGTTCAAAGTCAAATTTGAAGCTCAAGTACATCAGCTATGTTGACACTTACAGGTGGTATTTTTTAACTTCTTGTTTTTGTTTCTGATTTTTTATTTCAAATTTATGTTTGAAGATTATTTCATTACTATACTTTTGCTGGATGATGTCAAAGATGATGACAATTAAGACAATCACAACAATAAGCATTACAGCAAGCATGGCAAAATAGGCCAGATTTCTGTTTTGCATCTACTTGGGTAGAATCAGGATTGCGGGTATGTCTCCATGACTCCAAACAAGTTTGACTGTTTGGTGTCTGAATTCACAGAATTGGTATCATGGAGATACAATGGTGTTCATGAGGGGACTCATCCTCTGCATGCAGAAGGTACTGTCTTCTGTGAATGAAACCATCATACACAGTTAGGAGAACACTCACCATCTTGGTCGTTACCTGAGTCAGCTGGAGACTTGCTCCGGCGCATGGGGCCAGGGCTCTTGGCTAAACTCTTCTGAGGTGTTGGAGATGCCTTGGGGCCTGCTGTGGCTGGAGGGTTTCCTTTCATGACTCGGCATTCTGGTGGGAAAAGGACAAGACAACTTATTAGAGCCAGGGGAGAACTGAGACTGAGCATATTACCAACCTGTGGAAGTTGGAATAACTACCACAGGTCAAAGCACCTAATGGCTCAGGACAACAATGTGGTCCTCATTTTTTGCAAGAATGGTGGTTCTGGGGAGAGATCCATGGGAGAAACTTTCAAAAGTCACCTGGCTAAACCAGGTGCTTACACTCTTGGATTATGAAAACAAGGGAAGAAGTTGAAAAGCAAGTTGTATAGGTAATTAGTCAACTCAGTCATTATTGGAAAGACCAGTCATGTCTCAGAATAGCACTTGTTGACATGACTAATTAACATCTTTGGGGAAAAGGTAGATAGTTTAGAGGTAGCAGCCACACAGATGAAACATTCACTAGTATTTTAAAGGAGTGGAAGGGAGATACCATTTATTGTTTATTACATGTTATGTATTGTACTAGGCATGTTTGGGATGTCATGTTATTTTACAAATAAGCACAACTACCATCACCACTATCTTGCATTTATAGAGTTCTTTTTCGTTTAAATTCACATGTTTTCATAATCTCCTATGCTGATTTAATGAATAAATGCAAGCAGTGACTCAGCCACTTGTAACTTATAGAAAATTCATAAGTGTGTAGGAGAGTCTGTCAAATGTTCTTGCTACTTGCCCCAATCCCAGTCTGACACATTTGGAGCTGAGCATCTTTTCATTCAGGTCACTAAGCACCCCTACTATGGCAATTTGGGGCACTGATTGTGATAATGTATTAGAAGTATTATACTCACTTTACTGATAAGAATACAAAGAGCTCAAGCCTCTTGCTTAGGGTCACAAAGGAAGAAGAAGAAGAAGAAGGAGGAGGAGGAGGAGGAGAAGGAGAAGAAGAAGAAGAAGGAGGAGGAAGAGGAGAGGAGAGGAGGAAGAAGAACTAGCAGTCAAGTCTCCTGAGTCCAAGTCTAGTGCTCTTTCCACTCTATTTTATAGTTTTTCCATCTTTGTGCTGCTCATAGTAGAATCAAAGAACTTGATAGGGGTTCATTTATTTTTGATACTTCATTGCGACCTTCTACTTAAAGATATTTTAAAATATAATTTAGCCAAAAAGATTAGGAGATCTTTTCTGGTAATCTGAGATTTTCAGGAAACTGAGTTGAGCAGAAAGTTAATTTTTGTTTGTTTTACTTTTTGTTTCGGCTGATGAACTTTAGTTATCACTGTCCAGAGCTACAGACATAGAAGGTATAGAAAATTGGACACAGCCTGGAATTTATTTAGCTATTTTATGGTCTTTGTCTCTTCTAAAGGAAACATAGCAGAAATGCCACCACTCTCAGGGTCCTTCTCATTTCAGTTGTCTGTAAAGTCTGTATTACTACAACTCAGTTTGTTTCTCTCACACTTTATTCCTCATAAATGGGAAATATATTTTGAATGTGTCTTTCCAGCATGATCATTTCCTAAACCTTGTGCTGTGTCACCTAATTCGCCATTAACTTACATCTGGTTCTTGGACTCGGCAAAGGGAGATGAGCAGATGTTTCACCTCCTTCCTGTAATTAACAATCCTCTGGACTCTTGAGTCAAAAAGCAAGAAGTATAGGGCAGCAAACCAGAGGGTGGGAAAAGGAGAAATATTTTATAGTATGAAAACTCTGGGAAAATCTTTTAAATAGAATCATCAACATGGGCCAAATAGCTAGAGGATATTGACTGGAAAAAATGCATACATACACTATCCAAGTTGATTTCAAATGTTTCTTCCTGTGGTCTGATTGTATCTGTGAGCCATGTGACACAATATGTGGTTTAAGAAATATGGCCAGTGTTGGGATTGAGAGTGAGATTTATTGAGTTTGAAGGGTGGTAATTTGGAACATCTAATCAACCTTTCAATTAATGACTCATGTATTCAAAAATATGAGAGAAAGACTAACAATATTTGCCCTTTAGTGACCAAGAATGGATGTGATCCAGGCCATATGAACCCATGAATATCCTAAGGGATATAAGGAAGGAGAACAATAGAGCAATAAAATCTAGTGGCTGTGCTTACCATTTTCATCAAGAGAAAAGTCATCCTGAGCATAACGAAATTTTTCAGGACCACAGGCAATAAATACATCGTCATCACCAAAGAAATCATGGAGACAGGTTACCTGTGGAGAAAGTAGAATCACTGAATTGGTATCTAATGGTTTTATAACAATGAACTTCATACCATGTTTGCAGAGGGGGAAAATCGCATCTGAGCCATTATATCTAGCCCCCAAGGATCTCCCAAAATACTAGGCTCATAGTCTGTACCACAGCTACTGTGAGTAAAGATAACTGAGTGCCATTGTCTTTCTGTGTTTCACATGTTATAGTCTTGTATCAAGAGTAGCTTTGGAACTATGTCCAAATGAAATGTCCCCCTCTGAATAGAAGTCAACAACCAGATGGCTCTACAAATGTTCCCTTTCCTTAGAGCCTCAGAGACAGAGTACTCCCATCCCAACTCTGGGGCCAGGAGTCTAGGCTAAGGCAGATGAGAAAGATCTGTTGAAGCATGTTGTGGATACACTCTGTGACTGACCAAGAAGTATAAATTCCTCTCTTCATCTTCATTAGCTTTAAAAGAAGGACAACAACTCTTTTTTAAAAAATATTTTATTTATTTATTTTTAGAGAGAAGGGAAGGGAGGGAGAAAGAAAGGTAGAAAAACATCAATGTGTGGTTGCCTTTCATGTGTCCTCCTGCACTGGGGACTTGGCCTGCAACCCACGCATGTGCTCTGACTGGGAATCAAATTGGTGACCCGTTGGTTCGCATGCTGGCACTCAATCCACTGAGCCACACTAACCAGGGCAAGAAGGACACCAATTCTTAACTGCTTTGGACACTCCCCAAAGATTGAACTTTTGCTAAAAAGGACCCAGAACCTGATCAAGGCCCAGAATACCATTTCTCCCTAAAGAACAAGGAGGGGAAAACTGTCCTGACTACTACTTAAAACCTAATCAAGAGCAATGGATCCCCACAGGCTTGAGAGTCTGCCAGTAAAGTCATGGTCTCAGGATTCTTCCCACCCTCTAGTGCCCTATGCATTGTTGCTTGTACACAATAGAGAGATGGTCTTATAAACCCATTTTCTACACAAAGAAACAAGGGTCCCTGTGAAAATATGCTGAATTTTGCAATCACCCCAATTCTCAACTTCCCTAATTACACCTGATAGTTAATTTGGCACACTAAGGAAAACCCAGGAGAAACCATGGAGTCAAAGTACTGTTATCCAAAACTTAGCTTGAAAGTATTAAAAGCTTCTAGTTTTTCTAAGCTACCCACTCAAGCTTCTAGCAATGAATTTCCAGAGGCATGGTGTTCACAAACTATCAACACTTTGTTGGGTGCACAGAGGAATATGTTACATTTGAAAAATGTTTATATTAATAATATTATCACCCACCCTGGGTCTATTTAATTTCTGTTCCCCTAGCCAATATGATTGCAAACTTTACACAAAGCAAAAGATGCCTAAAGATTACCTCCATTTTCTCAGCCTCCCAATCATCCAATAGATGCCAAGAGAAGGGAAGGAGACTTGGGAAACTGCCAGGGTCATTCCTATTAAACTTCCAAGCCCTGGGTTTGGACCTCATCAAATAAGCCAACATCCTTCTTCAGCCCACTTGTCCCTCACTCATTCACTCATCCCATGATCATGTAATGTCAATCAGAGCTACCATTAATTAAATGTTTACTCCATGACAGGCACTCTGCTAAGTACTTCCAAATCTGTCATCTCATTTAACTCTTACAACAAACACTAGAAGTCAGTATTATTATCTCCACTATTTTACAAATGAGAAAACTAAGGCCCAGAGACAATAAGTAAATTATTCAGGTGGAAAGTGATGAAGCATAACAAATGCAAATTAAACTCCATAGTCTGTGCTTTTGGCCATTCAATAATACAAAGCACTTACATATATTTCAGACATTGGGGAGACAAAGATGAATCAGACTCAGGTCATGACTTCATGGAGCTCACAATCTGATGGAGTGAGACACATTGAAACAGAGGACTTCAATGACTGATAGGATGCCAGGATATGTAGGTGCCATGGGAGTTATTTAGTAGTACATCTAAGTGAACCTGTCACTGACTGGCACTGTTAGTTCAATAAGTATCCTGTATACTGTCCTGGAAGCAGATCCAATGACAGAGATTACATGGCTTGAACCGGGCCACAGATTCCTACTGACATATTGGGCCTTGGCTCAATAAAATCTGGAGCCTCTAACTTCAACACATTGTGTATCTCTGAAATTTTTACTCCCTGACATCTCCTTGATTCTGAAAAGGTTGACCCTGATCCTAACTGGCTGCCTTTAGTTTTGATCATGACTGTGGGAAACCTTACCCTTGGGTGTCCCTACACCAGTAATCTCTAGAATTTATCACTTTGTTTTAAGACTTGCCTATATTTTCATGAGTACTCACCTAGTCCTTCCCATTAGAGCACAAGCTTCCTGAATGTAAATGCCAAGTTTATCCCTCCTGCTGCATCTATCCATGGTTCCTGGTAGAGAGCTTATCACATAGTAAGAATGTAGCCAGAACTGTTTTTGCCTCAACAAAATGTAAAAAACAAAACAAAATAAACAAAGAACAATGAAGCTTTGTAAGGATATATAATGGCAGACAAGTAGAAACCAGAAAGAAGAATTTGGTTGTGGCAGACAATAAAAATTAGCCTTCAGGTGTTTTGAATGATAATGAATACACAAATTTAGGAATAAGAAAGGAACAATGACTGTGATGTCAGAAGTTAATGTTTGCATAACTATGCCAACTAGTTTTAAAACTTAGATGAAATGCATTATTTAAAAAAACCCTAAATAATGAAATTAGCTAAAAAATATATAGAAAACCTGAAGCAACTAACTACTAGCCATAGAAAGAATTTAGTAAATACTTCAAACAGCAATGCTTCACCAAAAGGCACCAGAGTATTCATTTTGGAGGTATTTGTGGAAATTTCTTCCCAAGAAGAAAACTGAAAAGTTCAAAAGCAGCCATTTCAGTGACATGCCATGATATCCTATTGTAGGTCAGAAAAGCCTTCACATATTGTTCTGGGGGTTGTTGTCACAGTGACCTATCCTTCTCCAACCCCAACCTTATTTGCCCCAGCAAGCTTTGGGAAATCTTTGGATAACCCCTCATTTGAGGAGATTTAAAAAAAAAACAGTCTGACAAAGTCACAATGGTGGGACTGGCTTCAAACATATTCATTTTGCAATCCAGCTATTTAGCATCAGGTTTCTTGTGTGATCCCACCCCACATTTTACTGGCTCCCAAATTTAGACAAATTCACATTGTCCATGTGGATATCCAAGTTTCCCAAATGATTTGGATACTAAAACACAACAGCCCTCCTCCACTTTGTTACATAGCTAGGAAAATAGGAAGCTCTCCATCTTAAATATGAGGAATTTAAGTACAGAGTCAAAGTGGCTCAAGGATACATAGGTAGCTCATGCAGAGTTGAGACTAGCACTCAAGTGTCTTGATTCAATTGAGGACAAAACAATTAAATTTTCTGATAGAATATGCCTCCTAAAGCCCTGACTTGAAATGCTTGAGTCCCCATTTGTTCTCATCAATGCCTGATACACATTAGTCCATTTTACTGGATTGAAGAAAAGAAAGCATCTTTTTTTAAAGATTGTATTTATTTATTTTTAGAGAGGGAAGGGAGGGAGAAAGAGAGAGAGACAGAAACATCAACGTGTGGTTGCTGGGGGTCATGGCCTGCAACCCAGGCATGTACCCTGACTGGGAATCGAACCTGCGACACTTTGGTTCACAGCCCGCGCTCAATCCACTGAGCTATGCCAGCCAGGGCAAAAAAGAAAGCATCTTAACAGATCATATTTTTAATCTATGAAAAAGAGAACTCATATTCATTACTCTAACTGGCAACTGAGTATGCTATAGGGGAGAACAAGGAGAAAGAGAATGAGAATAGGAAAAGAAAGAGGAAGAACGAAGGAAGAAGGAGGACAAGAATGGAGTATATGAAATAATTCCCAAATGAAATTCACACACACATTTTTTTTAATTCCATGAAGTAATGCAACACAAAGTACACCTGAGTTTATGTTGCAAATATATAATTTCTAAATTAAATTTTTTGAGATAAAATGTCCATGATGAAGAGGCAACACAAGTGGTAAAAATAGTAATCATTATAATACTACTCACAGCATCCTCAGAGAGGAAGAGTCTTGCTGACATAAATTTTTGTATGAATCACACTTGAGTATTCAAGTCAGAGATAAGAACACAAAAGCATTACACCTGTCTTTGTAATTAACAACTGCAAGCACAAAATCAATAAAATCAACTCACATTAACATTGAACCATTAAATCAATTTTCTTCCTTTGAAAAAATCAGTAGCTATTGGGGGAAGGGAAGCTTGATTGTGCTTTAGTGTGAACATTTGATTGTATGGACCACCTAGTGGCTTAAATGTTAAAGTACAAATGGGAAAATAAAAACAAAAGATCATCATGTGAGAGCAGTTTGAGTCTATTAGCTGCACATCTCAAATTCATTCTGTGACTTTATTTAACCTTGATTAGATTCTCCATACAGATACTGGCAGTTAGTTCTCATATGTGCTTATGGCTGGTAGATTCTGGATTTCACTATCTAATCATTTAGAAAGAAATGTTATTTTTGGAAGTAAGATTTTGCTTGTATATCTATTAGACCCACTTTCAACATGCAAAAGATTTTCTTTTTATTGAATTTATTGGGTTGACGTTGGTTAATAAAATTATATGGGTTTCAGCCCTGGCCCATGTGGCTCAGTTGGCTGGGTGTCATCCTGCAGACTGAACGGTCACAGGTTTGATTCCTTGTCAGGGCACTTGCAGCATAATCAATTGATGTTTCTCTCTCACATTGATGTTTCTATCCCTCTTTCTCCCTCCCTTCCCCTCTCCCTAAAAATAATTTTATGAGTTTCAGGTGTACAGTTCTATAATACCTCACCTGTATATTGTTTTTTCTGTTCATCACCTCAAGCCAAGTCTCCTTCCATCACCATTTATTCCCCCTACCGTCTTTTACCTCCTTACTCCCAACTTTTCCTATGG